GGGGGGATATCATCGTGAATGAGGGGAGCGCGTGATGGGGACCCAATGCCCATCTGTAGACAACCTGACATCCCTTGCAGAGGGGTAGTGGGGAGATGAGTCACTCAGGGTGCATTGTAGGAATAATGAAACTCACAACCTTCCTCTAGTTTTCTCTTTTTTTTGAAGAAAATTTGTGCAGAAAGTAGTGTTCCCAAATATCTTTCTATATACTACTGCCATGGTCAACATCTTGCATTCTTGGGGTACCTTTGCTGCCAGTGCTGTATGCTTCACTTTCCTCATATTGTTGACAACGTATTAGGCAACTTGGTCTTTTTGTAAAAAAAACTTTTTGAGTGAACCGTTTTCCCATTCAGCCATTTGTAAACAATTTGCTTTCATGGCACTGATAGCGACCCCCCACAAGGTGACTTCTTGAACGGAAGTCTCTAGCAGTGCCCCACATTAATGCAAGTTTCGCATGTGTGCTGTGAGGTGTGCGGCCCTATGTCCTGGTCATTTCCTCTTGAGGTCATGCTTATGAGACGCAAATAACAGAATAGGAATCTTTTTGAAAAATACACGTGTTTTCAGAAAAAACTATTACCAAGGCAGAGAGAAGATAGGACCTTATCAGATTTGGAAATGGGCGGTGGTGGTGGTGGGGGCACATGGAGTTTACATTTTAGGACAAGTGAATTATCAGTAAAGGATATAGGAAGTCAAGACAATTCTTTAGGCCCTAACTCAAGCACAACACAATCTGGCATAGTTTGTCTCATAGATAGTTTCATGTTTGTTTTGTTTTCTAAAAAATAATATATTTTTGTTGATAATATACATAGCAAACAAACAAGCAAAAAACCATTAAGTGTCTCTGTCAAATCTGAGACCACAGGTTACATTCTTCAAGCTGTACAGTCTCACGCTCTTTCTCTGAGGTGTTCCTCAGATGAACATAAATTCACCGCTCCCCAAGACTGTCATCTGGTCTTCCTAGTTGCCGTTGCCAATTTGATCCCATGCAAGTAGCTCCTAACAAGAGTTGTATGAGCCCCTAATAAAATGATTTTTAAAAAAGAAAAAGAAATAGCTCCTAAAAGAGCACAATGTGTAAGGCAGACCTTAAAAACAAAGCAAAACAAAAAAACGAGTTAAGCTAAACAATTGGTTTTAAGGAGACTTCAGGAGATACTTTATGTTTGAGGCTTAAAAGTGACCCCAGGGCAATCATTTTGAGGGTGTGAGACGGTCTCTGGATGCAAAGCTCCTGGGAATTTCCTAGTTGGCACTGAAATTGCTTTCTTGAAACTTTTTTTTAAAGAGTGTCACCTTAAGGATATCCACAGAGATCAACGATGACATCTGAAGCAAGAAGACCTCTCTCTCAACTGGTCAATGTCACAGTTAGCGTCTCAAAGCGGTACAGAGGACAGACAGGGCTTTGATGCTGACCTGATCCCAATGCATGTGCAGCACACCCAGGTCTTGAAAGACGTCCCCAGAGTTGTCCTATTTCCACAGGTGTGTCTCCCAGAGAAGGTAAAGGACCTATGACATTGTAGTGACGTTTTATAATTTTCTAACTAGGCACTTATATAGATATATAGTAATGCATTTATAGGGAAAACATAAACGTGTTCTTATTTTTCTACAGACTAAATCTTATTTTGTGTGATTTACACTGAGGGATTCCAAGCTTAGTACATTCATTGAAAAGTAAGATCGGTGGGGTCTGCAGAATTCACTTGTACCTTTATAGAATGAATTGTGCACCTTTATGTCAGGAGAGCATTTAGAAAGTTCACGTTACAGTTGATCATGACTGAGCTCCTGCATAGACACTACTGAGGATAACTACTGATTTTCAAGTGAAATAAGCAAAATGCCTCCATGGAGAGACCGTCACACCTCTGCACACACTAACACTAAACGAGCGTGCCAAGACCTGTTTTGAAACCCCTCTCTCTACGGCTTCCTGCTCACATGGCCCTGACTTTGACCCTTGCCAGTAATCCACTGTCCACAGTGAGAGCAATGCCAGTGGGATGGATTAATGCCAGCAAGGCTGGTTAGAAATAAAGAGCCTAGCAGGACAGAGGACATACGCCTAACAGGCGATTGGCTAACAGAACATAATCTCCTGGGGCTCACACCCTGGTCTTCACTGGGCAGACCAGGGGGGAAGAGCAGTCAGCAAGCCCCAGGCTCATGGAAGGCAGGGCTGTGGAAAAGAGACCTCTGCTTAATGTGAGGGGGCTTCAAAAAGTTTGTGGGCCATTCTCTTATTTTTTCATTCCGATTTTCCATGGATTTTTTGAAACACAGCCCCCCCCCCCCCTCCAATATGGAAGGCACTGCAAAGTCAATGTGTGGAAAGCATTAAAAGAAACGGTTCCTCAAACCACCCTTCATTGCTACTGGCTTAACACAAGAATGCTGACACTCGGTCGCCTTGAATGCCAGTGAAGCTGTCAACAAGAACAGGACCAACAGAGGCCAGGAGAAAGCTGGAGAGAGGGCCACGGGCAGTTCCAGGTTCAAGGCGCTCTTTAATTGCTCCCCCCTCATGCCTGTGGCTAGTGGCACCATGCCATGAAGGAATGTGAGTCAGGCCTTTTGCTTTAAGCCGGACCTACAGTTTCTACTTTTTCACCCAAATGTTGAGGGCTGTAGAAACATTCAGTCAGCCTGGGGGAAGCAGTGGTGCTTGAAATTAACCTTGAAGGCCTGGTCTTGAATACTTGAGAAGGGCCCGGCCTTCAGGGCCCCAAGACAGAAAACTCACGTCTGGCCTAATAGGATTGAACCTTGAGGGCATTGTATCAAGGAGCCCAATTGGACAGCCTGGGAGGGAAGCTACGGATGGAGGCTGCATGGAGCCCCTTAATAACGATTTGAGTGAGGGAAGGGGCCACAACCAGCTTCCTCTCCCATGACGAACTGCGTCTCCCCTAAGTGTACAATAGTGCAAACCTGATAGCCATTTCTGAGACCATTGTAACCTGTAATAAGACTGTGGCACCCCCTTGTGACGCTGGAACTGAAGGCCAGCACTAAAGACGGTCAACTGAGCCTGATTGGAGGAGGAGGAAAGACGAAGGACGCCGCCCATCATTCCATGGAACCGTGAGAGGACGGATCCCTGTCTGTGTTGTACTTTGCATAGACTTTTGTCACCAGCACTTGTTAATACTGCCCTGTCCTCCTATGTGTGCATCCTGTGTGCGCAGTTAGACGGGCGGGAGGGGGGTGGGGCTCCCTGAGGGCAGTACATGTGCCTTACTCTCGGTCTCTGTAACCCCTGTCTGTAACACAGTGCCTCCTGGCACATAGTAGGTGCTTCGTAAAGTACTCACTGTATGAATAAAGGCGTGACCGGGGGCGTTTGTGGTGCTGCACCCTGGGATTGGCTCTGGTTTACTAGCTGAGTTCCTGGCTGCTTTGCTGGGTGTGGCTGCCACTGTTTCGGCCAGTGCTCATCAACCTGGGCAGCTACCACAGACACTGTGATGGGGCGAGACAAAACGGCACCACCTGGCCGTGGCAGCCCGAGAAGCCCGAGTCACTCCGGACAGTCCGATCCTGCTTCTCCCCCGGGCCTCTAAAGCCGGCCTGACCCATGTTTGCTGGGCAGGAGTTCCGATTTCTGTGAAGTTGTGTTTCCTTGGATCCTGTGGCTGGGAAGGTGAAATAAAAAGGAATATTTCTTTATTTTGGTAATTGGTGTGTCTGTTACATTTCAAACCGCTCCCCTAGCCTTCTGTTCCCTTCGCTCACATTGAGGGTGTTCTTTGTGTTGATGCCTTCTGAGGTTTTGAAGGAGCTGACGAACCAAGCCCCTCTCCTGGCTCCGGTAGCCTTGGGTTTACAGCTCCAATCTCTGCCTCCCCAGGCATCTGGCTGTCTTCCTTCTGTGTACAGATCTTCTCTCATCTGTCTCTGTCTGTCTGTCTGTCTGTCTCTCTCAACGCCAATGGTTCTATTTCAGTCTAGCAAGTAGTCAGTATAACAATTGCTTCATATTTGTCAACAGAACTGTCAAGTATCAAAATATACATCCCGCAAGTTGGCTCCACGGATGCTCCTTTCATTTACTTATTTTTAATTATATTTTTGTTGTTGAGAACATACCACAGCCAAGCACACCCCCTTCCGCAGTTCCTACGCAGACAGTTCCGCCATGTTGATTACGTTCTGTGTGTCGTGCAGCCTCTCTCCTTCTCAGTTGTTCCCCCTCTGCTTCCTCTCTTTTATAAGGACACTCCTTACGCTGAGTTAATGGTGCAAGTGGCCAACAGGCTTGGCTGGTCACTGAGTCCACCCAGAGGTGCCTTGGAAGAAAGGCCTGCTGGTCTCCTTCTGAAAGCTCAGCCGCCAAAAATGAGTTGGAGCCCAGCTCTACTCTGAGACATGAGTCAGAGGCGACTGGGCAGCAATTGGCATAGCGGATTACGACCCATCCTACTTTATTATGTCCTCATGTTAGCTGACAATAGCTTCAAGGACCCTCTATCCAAACAAGGTTACATTCACAGTTACCAGAGATCTCAGGACATAATTCAGCACATCGTACATGTCCATCCCTGAATCCATCACTGTGTGGCGGGGTGGTGTGATATTCTGATTAGTCAGATCTGAGTCACCTGGGAGCAAGCTCGAGGCTGGTGAGTGGAGACAGTCTCTCAAAAGGGTGGGCAGTGCCTTCTGGACAAGCGCAAAGCAGTGGCTTCCACTCTCATTCCAAAGCCCCTTTCCAGAAGAGCCAGCCGCGCTCGTTACCTGGGTAAACCCAATGATACTTGCTGAACTTCTTCAGAGAGAAAGGAAGAGAAAATGGAAACTATGTAGGTGATTCAAATAGTGACTTCTAAGTTTTTGGGTCCCCTTTCAAATTTGCTGTGTTCTTTCACCTCTGTGAGGTTGCCAAGTTGTTGCCTTTTTCCGGTGGGAGATCCAGAGCAAAGGGAGGCTCCTTGACCCGCAAGAGATCCCGCAGGCAGATGGCTAGGAATCTGTCTTGGACTCTTCTCCCGATTCTGAATCCAGTGGGTTTTGCTTTGTTGTTGTTGTTAACACTAACAGAGGATTCCACAGAAATTGCATTTCACAAACCAAATTAAGGACATCAGGGCTGTGCTGTGTTTGGGTTTCCTAACATCCCCTTACATGTGGCCTTGTCCCACGTTCCCATTTTCTGACTCAGTTGGAGACATCGCGGTCTGGTGTTTGGCCCTGGAATGAAGAAGGGGGAGTGGGAGGGAGATAAGTGGTCTCCCATTCTCTCCCACTCTCTGGTTCTGGCAAGCCGGTAAGGCCAGCCGTCACCCCACACACATACTCTTGGTCTGGCTCAGAATGTCCCACATTCTGGAACCCAGACTGTCATGCGCCTGCGTTGTGTCTGTTGCACAAGACAGCAGCCATTGCGTCAAGCCCTGGAGGGGAAAACTCCTGACTCTTCTTGATTCCCCCCACCCCTACCCCCCACCGTGGAGGAGTCATCAAAAATGAAACACGGGATCCTGGCCGGAGCTCAGACTCACTGGGCATGGCCTCGACCTTCTGACTCATACTCAGAAAATGCTCTGAGACCCCAGGAGCCTGCTTTGTGGCTTCAGAAACCAGGGTGCCCTGAATGTCTAGTGAGCCTGCAGCCAGCACAGTTCCCCAGCAAGGAGCACTTCTCCCAGTCCGGCCACCTTCACCACCAGGCTCGGGTCTAGACATTTTGGTGACTGGAGCCCGTTTCCTCTTTTTAAAGTATTGTGGTGAAGTATATAGAAGGACTTTGGCCATTTCAATTATTTTTTATGTGTACAGGGACATTAATTAGTCTCCGTTGAGCAACGGTCACCTCTCCCCCAAATGTTTCCATCACCCGTCACAGACACTCAGCCTCCCTTACGCAACACCTCCCGTTCTCCCTCGCACCGGCCCCTGGTAACCACTGATGAACTTTGGTCGCAGTGCATTCGTCTGTTCGAGATCTCTCATAGAAGTGGAATTACGCAAAACTTTTGTGCGTCTGGCCAATTTCACTCAGCGTAATCAACTGTATCCGGACCTCATTTCTATTGATGGCTGAATAACACTCCACTGTAGGACACACCATGTTTCCTGAGGTCATCGGTCTGTTGAGGAGCATGTGAGTGGTTTCTACATGTTGGCTATCGTGAATAATGCTGCCATGAACTTTGGGGTACAAATACCTTTTTGTGTCCTTGTTTCACATTCTGGTGGGTATATGGGTAGGATTGGATGGCTGGGCCACATGGTAATTCTCTGTTGAACTTTTTTGGGAATTGCCAGGCTGTATTTCATAGTGGTGGCGCCCATCTTACATTCCTTCCTACAGTGAATGGGGGCCCTAATTTCTTCTCATTTTCTAGAATTCTCATTACTTTCCTTTTTCTTGACAAGTCATCTTTACAGCCATCAAGCCCCTTTTAAAATTCAGTCACCTTAAATTGAATCTCCGATGCTTCTACCCATAAGAATCCTGCCGGATACCAACACCCAAAATTTCCACTACCACATCAATACAAATAACATTTTGTTTTGTGGAATCACCAATATTAGGGTGGCAAGTAATTTCTAGAAATGTGAGGATTCAATTGCTCTTACTTGTAGAACCCATTGTTGTTTTTTACATTCCAAAACTTGTAAAAAGACTTAAAAAATACCCCCAAACTTAAGAAACAAAACCACCCACAACTTTGTATTGTGACTCTAGAGTGGAGGCTTCCATTCAGAGATGTTTTGCTTCACCTCAGTGATGGAGATGCCTTCAGTGTGACGTCCCTCCCTCCCTGTGTGAGACCCATGTGTTCTCAGTTTTAAATGTGCCTATCAGTAATGGACTCCTATAATTCAAAAATCAAAACTGTGTTAAAAGGTAGTTATCCAGAAGCCTGGTTATCTTCCCCTGTTCCCTTCTCCTCAATTTACCTTCATCTTGTAGATATCAAACCAAACCAAACTCGCTGCCATCAACTTGATGCAGACTCATAAGAAGCCTGTAGAACAGTCGAACTGCCCTGTGAGTTTCCGGGACTAAGTCTTTTTTTGTTGTTTTTAATCTTTTTACTGCGAGCTCTTACATATATTACAACAACCCATAATGCAATTAGATCAAGCATAGTTATACAATTGTTGCCACCATCATTTTCAAAACATTTTCTTCTAGAATGCTTTGATATCAGCTCCCCTCTATCCCCTCCCCTCCTTTGCCCCCCAGGAACCCTTATTATTTTATACTGTATATACTCAAGTATAAACTGATCTGAATATCAGCCAAGGGCCTAATTTTACCACAAAAACTGAATTAAAAATGTGCTGAAAAACTCGGCTTATACACGAGTATATATGGTATCATTCTTTATGTATTTGCCGTGCCTTACCCCATCCAGTGTATCTCTTCACCTACAATTCTGTTATTTGTTCCCCTCAGGTGGGGTTACACAGTCATCACTGCAATCCGTTCCCATCTCTTACCCCTTACCTCCCCTCTCTTCCATACCCTTAGAGAATCATTACTCCCATTACTATTTCTGAAGGGTTTATCTTTCTTGGATTTCATGCATCAAGAAATCTTAATTATACAAATGCACATACACAGGTCTAAGATTAATGAGGTAAAACTTAGACCATAATAGTAAGGGGTGGAAATATTAAAGAACTAGAGGATAGTTATGTTTCATCAGTGCTATTCTGCACCCTGGATATATCATCCCTTCCATATGGTCCAACTGTGAGAGATTGTCCAATTATCTTATAGGTGGGTTTGGGGTCTCCACTTTGTCCTTCATGTCAGTTTGATTGCTTGTTTTTGAATTTCTGAAACCTATTCCCATCAACACATCATGATCACGATCACACAGGCTGGTGTGCTTCTTCCAGTTGGGCTCTGTTGCTTCCCCGATAGATGACCACTTGTTTGACTCCAAGCCTTTAAGACCCCAGATGCTATATCTTTTAATAGCCAGGCACCATCAGCTTTCTTCACCACATTTGCTTATGCACCCCTTTTATCTTCAGCGATCCTGTCGGGAAGGTATCATCCATTGCCACATTATTAGAACAAGTTGTTCTTGGACTGAGGTAAGATTTAAGTAGAGGCCCAACTCCGTGACTAAATCTTTATGAGAATAGAAAACTCACCTTTTTCCTTAAAGCAGCTAGTTTTGAACTACTGACCTTGTGGTTAGCAGCCCAGCAAGTAACCACTACACCACCAGGGCTCCCTGCCTTGTAGATAGCCACCTTCAATCAGGATCAGATTTTTGGTGAAAATATAAGCAAAACAGTGCTTTCCTTTTTTTTGTACCCCAAAAGGTTAGCATACCCTACAAATAATTTGAACCTTAAAAAAGTGTTTTGATCAAAATATCTTGGAATTTCCTTATCAACACACAGAGAACTTTCTCATTTGTTTGACATCTATTTTGAATTGCATTGTGTGGTTGTACTATCATTGATTCAACAATTAATTGATAAACAATTAGTATGGCTTCCAAGCTTTTGCAATGATAAATGAAGGACACAGATGTGCAAGGAAACCGATAGGAGAAAAATCCCACAAAGGGGATGCTGGGACATAGAGGAAGCTGCCTGTGTCATGTGACAGATATTGTCATCATTTCTGAGAACCTGTTTCCTGGAATGAGTGTGTTGGAAGTC